ACCCAGCCGCCCTCTTTCCCCAGCTGCTTGGGGTCTGCCGGGGAACAGCTAGCGGGGCCTACGCTATCTTCGGCTGCACCAGCTACAGGGGCCTGGCTAGCTACGGGTGAATGAAGGGTGCGAAGCCGAGTCTCCAATTAAGTAATCCTGGCCTACATTTGTTGCAGGTATCATTACTGCTAAAGGAGGCCAGGGAGTAACTAAACATCTGTCACAATGAGCAGGAAAGTGCAGGAGGGAGAGGTGAAGTAGCCATGGTGCTAGCGAGTCGGCTACGAGCTAAGCTAAGCTAGCGAAACACTACAGAGACAGTGAGTGAATACTTTGGCTATAAATTAGGTAGTGAGTACACAGAGAGTGTGCTTCGGATGAAGCATGTGAAGATTATACTATGAAAAAAGAATGTATCTAACAGTTTTTAATTAAATTACTAAGCAGATAAGCTAGGGTGACCATATTTTGATCCCCAAAAATGAGGACATTTGGCTCAGTCATGAAGAACTTACTTAAAGAAACATAAAATCAGCCTGGGCATTTTGACTAGAGACCAACCCACCAGGTATTATAGGAAAAGCCATAAAGCCTTTGAATGAAACGCTGTTGTGACAGTGATGTACAGTCTTGTTGGTATATGTATGATTTCTATACATTTTACATCAGATAAAAACTTTGGCTGTAAGACTCAGATAATTATTTATTAAAAGCGAGACATTTTAAATGTGAATAAAAAAGAAAAGTATTTCTTTGTGCCCCCCTCTCCCTGTTAATGCCCTATCTGCCCCCCGACAAAACTTTGCTAGACCCCCGCCCCTGCACAGTTACCAGCTGTCAGCTACGTAGAAAAGGATCCTGGTGTTATTTGTCTCTCAGAAACAGTTCATAACTTCAACTCATCCATGTCACCTAAAACATCAGCTGATATTAGAAATTAATATTAAATAAATTCTAACAACAGCTGATCAAGCTTAAACTGCTGCTGTTGTTTAACGTGACATCTGCTGGTTTCCTCTTTCTGGCGCAAAGTGGGCGATAAACAAACAAGAGATCAGCTGATCATTGATCAGTTTCATGATTGAAGGAGCACCACCAAACAACTGAGTTATTTTTACACATCGGCCAGCATCTGGCCAATCCACCACCTTTCATTGTTTATACCGTTATTAAAAAAAAAAACATCGGCCCGTGGCCATGTCCAGCTATGGTCGGTAAGTTCGTCTGAAAGAAGGACGTGCGCTTTGGGATCTTTTAAACATTATTAGGCGCGTTGCTGTGCGCTGTCCTTCCTGTCTGTGAGCGCAGAACAAGCGCTCACAAAGCAAGTTTGGGGATGACGTCACACACATGGGTCCTCTGTCGGAATATAGGAAAACCCGGACATTTTTATCAATCTCGAAATTCCTCCCGGACGCCCCAGACAGAACGTAAAAAGAGGACATGTCCGGGGAAAAGAGGACGGTTGGTCACCCTAAGATAAGCTACTCAGAAACACCACTGCGTTTGAGCAGGAACAGGAAGTGATACACTAATGCAGAGAGAGCGAACACCAAGTGACAGTTTCAGTGCGTCTGTAACACTGTGGAGAACACAGGAACATGAATGAAGACTGCTTTTTTAAACTACTTGCTGTGAAAAAAGACTTTGTATATATATTTACATACAGAGCTGACGACTGTACCTCATCATACTGTAATAACATGATGACAGCACATGCAGCGTATTCATACACAAATACGCTGCATGTTCATTTGAATGATGAAAACAGTGGATCAGTCTCCCTGTTCTGGATCAAAGTGCTGTAGCTGAACATCCAGAAGCAGTCACAGTCTTTGGATCATCCCTTTCTTCCTCCTCTCACCCTCACAGTATTCCAGCTTCCAGACAGAGCGTTCCGAATCCGGCCAGGACAGTCCGTGGGGCAGCAGTCCGCTCACAGACTCGGCCTCCCCTCGACTGCTGGAGCAGACTGAAGGCGTGGATGCCTCCTGTGTTTACAGGCAATTCTCTGATCCTCGTACACTTTGCTACAACATGTCTGAAGACCAGATCACCAGCCACATCCACGGTCAGGGTCAGAGCTGTGAGCGGGGTCGGTGCGAGGCAGGCCGATATTTTCTAGGAGCTCCTCCACCAGGCAGGGAGACGTGGTGGGACACCGCCCGCTCCATCATACCGCTGAGCAAGAGCTCGCTGGAGAACTACGAAGACTACGACGGCAGCGTGCCACACATCACAGCTGTGCACACCCACCACGGTGAGGCCTTTTCTCTCATGGAGCTGTGGCTGTTTAAATCTGCACAGCTTTAGCACAATGAACTTTCTGTTTGGTTTTCTACATGTTGTGAGCAGACGTCTCACCTTTAGTCTCACCTGTCCAAAGCAGATACAGCCACACTGACATGTATTTGTTAATAAGCCATACTGGTTCAGGCCTTTTCTAACTATGCTGTCCTGACATGCAAACTGAGGCTCAGATGGAGTTCAGGTGGACTTCTCGGTTTTTTTGTAATTTCTTGACACACACACACACACACACACACACACACACACACACACACACACACACACACACACACACACACACTTTCTGATCATCAGTTAATGAAGTGCATTTGCACCCCTTGGCTGCTGCTTTCCCTAACGAGGTACAGCACATGCAGTGTGGGACATCATGCCCTTTGGGTACTGGCTGAGGACACCTGTATTTACAGCTTTAACATGCGTGATAGCATATGTAAGGCTGCTCCACCTGCAGCTTCTCTGCTGCTTGGAAAAAAGAGAGAGAGATTGTGTCTTGTCTGCTTACCTGCTCACTCCAAAACTCCATCTCCAGGCCAGTGTCCAGTATGTCAGTGCCATCGTGGTGAGCAGCTAACTCAGGGTGTAGCTTGCCAGAGCCCTCACATGCTCCGCTCAGCAAACCCATAGAAGGATTCAGCGTGGTCAGCCCAGTTAGCTGTGGGGAGAATAATTTGATCAGTATACCTCAACACTGTCTTCACACATGTGACATGTTTTTGCAGAGTTAAGCTCCAGAGCTGGCGACAAAACGCACAAGCTTTGGACTCAGGCAGTGATCTCCTCATGTGGACAGTCCTGCACAAAACTGGGCTCACATTGTCCTTGTAGTGAAGAGAGAGTGCAGTTCTGAGGACAGAGGTAAACAGAGTATTTGTTCTTCATCTCGGTTTGGTTCTTGTACCAAACAGCAAAACAAAAACTGCACAGCAGATCCAGACAGGAGCTGTGTGGTCAGCTGAGCAGTGTTGGCTAACACCAGCCGGGGTCACGTGGGCAGCAACAGAGCTACAGGTGTAGCAGGGTATAGGTGTTCTCTGTCTTGATAAAAAGACAGAGGTGATGGTTTTTGGTAGCCCCACTGAGACCCCCAATGTGTATGTAGATTCCCTGGC